GCCTTAGACTTCTTCTTAGACTTTTACTTATTTCACTACCCCCATCTCTGTTATCCCTGCCATCCTTGGTATCCCTGGTATCCCTTATCTTCATCGTTTGCCTTGTGATCAAAACTCTGGCAAAGTGTCGTCCACATCATTATCGCTTTTGTTTTAAGCTGGCACAGGCGCTGGCGCTGGCGGTGGCGGTGGCGTCGTCGCTTCTGCCCGCAGCTAAAGAGATATGGCAGAGAATCCTTTGGTCCTTTGGCGCCGGCCTGACACTTTTCTGACATTGTGCAAATGAATAATTGTGCTTTCTTTGCCGACAGTGCAACCAGCCCCAGTCTCAGTCTCTCACTGAGTCTCAGTTCCAGTTACAGCACCAATGCCAACGGGCTCCCATTCCGACCACAACAACTGCACATCCGTTCCACATCGCTCGCTCAATGTCTCATCATCATCATCATCGTTGTCGTCGTCGCAGTTGTCGTCAGCATCGTTGCTCATTCGCTATGCCGTTGTCAAGCTCATCATCATCATCATCATCGTCATCAACATTCTCATCAACATCATCATCATCATTATCAGTATCATCATCAGTGCCATTCCCATCATCATCATCCGCATTCGCATCCGCAAGAGACTCGCCTACCCCATCCTGTCCAGTCGCATTTTGTCCTGGCCTGACTTAGCTTGTTCTTTTCCATCCTGCTCGGTTCTCGTTCTGTCCTGTTCCAAGCTGGCCGGTCCGACCACAGTCAAACGAACAGCTAAACAGTCGCTTAGCCAGCCGCCTGACTACTGACCCCTTTTCAATGGGCATCCGCTGGATATGGCGACGACGGGCTTGCGCTGGACATTGCCATCCTCATGCTCATCGTCATCCTCATCTTTATCCTCGATGCTATACTGTTTGCCCATTCATTTTGTTTCTGTTTGCGCTTTGATTGACGGAGCTACGCTGAGCTGATGCTTTGCTGTTGTTGCTGCTGCTGCTGTTGCGGCCGTTGCATGTCCTTGCGCTTGTCCTTTCGCATTGCCGCTGCGCTTTCCCAGCGTTATTAATGATTTCTCCAAAGTTTTCGCTACATTTTATGCTACAACTTCTGCCCGGGTTGGCCCGGATACGCTTGTTGTTTATTCTTGTTTTTGTTGTTGTTGCTGTTGTTGTTGCTGTTGTTGTTGCTATTGCTGTTGTGTCTGTTGTTTTCGTTGTCGATGTTGTTGCTGTTGTTGGCATATTGTTGATTGTTCTTTTATCTCGTCTCTGTCAATTCGCTGCGTTATGTTGCTGCGTTCCATTTGACTTTGGGTTTTGAATTTCCGACCACCTCCTATGGGCAGCCTGCATTTCGGCTTCCACCTTATCCATTTTTGCTTCAATTACGGCTCCTTCAACCGGATCCATTTATGATGAACGCTTCACGCTTAACCGCCGGGTTCGGGTTCGGGTTTCGAGTTTCGGGATAGGAACGCAGCTCGCCGATGCTCAGCAGCATTTTGCAGTTGTGTCTTGCTGCTTACTCGCCATTTCCACCAGATAAATACTTGTCAATCAGTTATTAATTGCCTTTCAATTTATATTGAATTTGTGGTTTCTGTTTTTCCATAATAAAAGGATTACTATTCTTGCCTTGTCTGACAGCCAGAGTAATAACAAAGCATTCGTTTTGAGTGTGCTTTCCATTCTAATTAGCAAAGCTGTGAGTGCAATTGGTAACAAAACTCATTCATATCTTCATATAGAAAACAAAACTCCAATTCAATTGCAAAATTTGCTATTTTCCGATAAGACCATTCACAGACACAATTGAGTATTGATTGAACATTTTGGCACAAGCTAAAAAAAAAAAAAAAATTTTATTTCGAATGCAGAAATTTTTAATCGGAACAAAATAATAGCATTCTAAGCATATATTTAAAATATATACATTTTTTGGGTTTTTATATTCTCTGAGTTTCAAACATGCTTTCCTGGAATATTGCATATGTTTCTGGATAAAGCAACACAATCTGCCATGAGGATACTTTCTCATCATCACAAAATCGACAGATTTCGCTACTGGTTATACCTAGTTTAACTAGGTGACTTCTTAGACTACTCTGTTCTGTCATGTCCAATGTGCATTTATTTTAAATATCAGTTTGAAGTTGTCAAAATTGGCCGTGAAAGTTTTAAAGTTGTCAAAATTGGCCGTGAAAGTTTTAAAGTTTTGTCTCCGCAGTTAGTTTCTATGGCAACTATTTGATCTGTACTGCTTCGACAATAAATAAAGATATAAATTCCATGTTTCATCAAGGTACCCTTGATACGGCGATTCGGCTAGTGATTGTCCTCAAAAAGATATATACTTTACTCTACTTTGCGGTCTGTGACTTCTCCATCTAAAAAAAAGCATGTATGAAAAGCAGTGGCGTCTAAATGTAACAAAAGGTTGAATCTTATCACACACTATTTCAAGCATTTTATGGAAAGAGGGTGCAAAAAATACGATCAAGTTTTTGGCATGACAGTCTTTCATTCTACATTTAAATTTGCCTGGCTTGGCAGTTTTGATAGCACACGTTAATTGCATTTCAGAGCCAAGTCAGAGACGATGACATTCAGTGCAGCCACAGGAAGGAGCAACATTAGCATCCAGACACGAGATGAGATGGGTGCATGTGATTGTTGCAAGCATAGACAAATAAAGACATGAATATATATAAATATATTTATATGTATAACATGTGAACATGTAAGGGAGATGGCACCACCAAGCCGCAGAACAAAAGGTGTGCGTGTGTGGCCATGAACCATGAACACACACACACACACATACAGACAGGACATGCAGAGTGCAGCACACACTGCACACATACGTTTACACGAAGGCAGAAGGCAGCCTTGCAACAGCGAAATGCAATTAGAAAATTGATGTGGCCAGTAGATGCTCATGATCTTACTGAAACGCCGAGTTGGGACCACAGTGTAAACCGCACCCTGACTCTGCTCCTCACTCTCTCTCTCTCTCTCTCTCTCTCTCTCTCCCTCTTCTCTCTCTCTCTCTCTTTCTTTCATTAAATGCGCTCGAATGTTTATTAAAATGCATGAAATACTTTTAAAAAGCAATGCAGAGGTCGGTTCAGCACTTTGTTGCTGTCATGTTTATGGCACAGCTGCTGGGGCAGCAACAACACACATTGGATGTAATTGACTCTGCGCCTCACTAGCCGACCAATTACTATAGCTATTGCCATACAGCTGGCCACAACCTCCCATTGAGATAGATACACTTAGATAGCGACTGCGACTTCAGTTTCTGGTTTAGTTGGTCGTTTTGGTTTACTTTAGTTATGCACTGTTGGCTTGCAACATATGCAGATGGACCAAATGCAGTGCTTGTTGTTGCTATTGTTGTTGCTGTTGTTCGCGCATCTGGCAACATCTTGTTGAGCTGTCAAAATATGCTTGTTAACAACATTTGTTGCACCGCACCAACAGCAACAACAGCACGAACAGACAACAGCAATATGCTGGGAGACCCAGCCATGCATTAGACTAAACATGTTTACAAGACATCAGCAACTTTTTAGAGTGCAGGCTTTTAGAAGCTGCTTTCCATTTAATTTCTGACAGCAACATTTTTCTATTTGTGCTTCTTATTCTTATTTTTTTTTCTCTCTCTCTCTCTTTTTTTTCTTGACTTAGTTAAAAGGCGACAAAAATAATCATAAAAATTGCCGTTGTTTTTGTATTTAGCTGGCATGTTGTTCAACTTTATCTCATGGTAAACTTTCCATAAATAGCAAAAACCCAGTTCAGACTATGCAAAAGATACGTGTGTGAGCAGCCGCCTTGGGCGTGTGTTTGTCTAATAGATCAGCAACAGCAACAGCAACAGCAGCAGCAGCAACAGCATCAGCAGCAACAGCAGCAGCAGCAGCAGCGACTCAAATGTGCTCCTATCCCATTTATCATCTGGCGGCTGTCTGCAATTTCAGCGACTGGGCGGCGTTCGTGTTGCTGCTGCAACAACAGCAGCGCTCTGTTCTGCCTCTGCCTCTGCCTCTGCAGCGTATGCCCCTGATTGTGCCTCTGCCACATCGTAAGCATGAAATTCGAGCGACGTGCGCGCACAAGGTGTCTGCATTTCAACGCCCCAGACTCTGAGCCGGTGGAGACACTGAGACCCCCCTACGGTCTAAAGCTGAAACCTGGCCAAACGGCTAATGTAGCAGGCAGAAGGCAGGCAGCAGACGGCTGGCCAGCTTTTGCTTCATTTACACTGAAATTATTCAGCATAAATCATTTTAATGTTGCGTGATTTTTAGTCGGCCATTTAGAGGCCGCTGAGTGTCACTTAAAATCTGACACATTAAAAGGACAACAGACGACAGCAACACAACCAGAATCACACACAGAAAAAGAGAAAATATTTACAGTATTTAAAATATTAATAAAATTAACTAAAGCAATGTGAAATGTTGAACAGTTGAATTAAGGTTTCTGCAACTTTGATATATACTCAATTAAATGCATGCAAATGTGGCAACTGCTACAATGCTCGTTACAAAGACTTATAAGCATATATATATATATATATATAGGTATATATATGTGTGAAATTTGACAAATCCAAAAAGTTTATTTCTACTTGTCAAAATGAAAAGTATCTCGAACGGATGCCAACAACTGGTAAATAGTAAATAGCAGATTAAACTTTATTTATGATTATTATTTTTGTTGCTGTTTTGTTTTTGCTTTTGGTTTGTGTTTGTGTTTTAAAGCGAAACATTTTATTTACATCTTTTTGGTTGCCCTGACAGCTGTTGGCTGACTAGGCAGCAACATACTTACTTAGTACATAATACATTATAATTACCAGCGATGTGGGTTCCACATAAACTTTTGGGCATGCCTTTAAAATTATGGCTAAAATTATGCAGATCAAAGTGCGCGCTTACAACACAACACACAACACACAAGACACACACACACATGGTATATGGTATATGGTATATGGTACATAGGTAGATATATATTAAAGTCAAATATTTCACACAGATGTGCTTTGAAGTTGCCATGCTCCTCGATTCACATTCATTTTAGCTTTGAGTTGGCATTCGCAGGAATCACATCTTGTAGAAGGCAGCACAAGTGATACTTTGTTGTCGATTGTTGTTATTGTTGTTGTTGTTGTTGAGGTTGAAAGTAGATAAATACCAGCATATAAACATTTCATTAGTATGAGCATCATAAGTTCGTTATTGTTGCCAGACAGTTTTATATCACACGAATGATGCGGCTGTCAGGCAAATAGCTTCTTGTAACTTACACCATCAACTTTGGGCCTGCAGCGCGATCTTTGCAGAAAACGCATTATGACAGGCGGCATGTGTTCCTTATACATCCCATATTGGCGCAGTACAAAACGGCAGTCGCTAAAGTGCACACATTGGCCAACGTTTTTGTCGGGTGTCTGGCAGCTACGTTCTGGCAGCAGATGCCGCATAAATGGAGATTATACATATACATATATTAGCGAATGTGTGTGTGTGTGTCTGTGTGTGTGTGTGTGTATCTATGTGTGTCTGTCTAAGCCATAATCAATGGTTAGCTTACGTGTGTGGCAGAAAGTTGGCAACAAGATGACGAGCAGGCAGCAGTTGTAGCACAAAAACAAAATCAATCGACAAGTGAGCCGCATTTTGAATTTGAAATTCGCAAGAGCAACCGCCGCCGACAGCGCTGTTGATGATATATTAAAGTCGCGTTAAAGTCTTATACGCTTTAAGCTGCCCCAGCTAGGGCTGCTGCGGAAACCGAAGCTGGGCAACAGATTGTTGCTCAAGTAAACAGCTTGGGCTCTTGGGCAACTTTTGATAAGCAGCCGAACAGTCGAGCAAGTATGCCACAGCGAGCGGAGAGCGGAGAGCGGAGGCAGCGCTTATCAGCGATGTGCAAAACAAGAGGCCAAAAAATATGTACATAATATGTAAACAACAGACACACACATAGCTAAAATTAACTGTACACATAAGTGGCTGTATAGCTTTATAGATGCGGCATCCATAAACACATGTTTGAGGCGCCTCAAACCAGAATGAGCCAAAGCTCTGCCTGGTGCCTTCCCATTGGCTCGCTGCTCGCGGGTGGCGCAAATGGAAATTTATTATACATCTATGTAGATTTATTGCAAAGTTGAAAATGAATTCAAAGCGTGTGGAAAGTAGCAGCTGTGCTGCAAGGAATTGACTTCTATGCCGCCTTTGCTAGTGCTTGTGGACGCGGGGGTATTTGTTCAGCAAAATGTGCAAAGCTATTACCTAGAACAACACCAAACATCAACTGAACATTTTAAATAAGTGTACTCTAAGATTTAAATTAATAAAGGCCTCTTACATCCGCTGAATTGTTTGCAACATGTTTGCTTGCTCCATTAAAGGGCAACTTGATCTTTTACCGACCCATCCATAAATGCTACAGCTGAATGGGAATTAAATGCCGCAAATGCCTGGATTGGCTTGCATTGAGTTGAAAAACAATGTTCCATAATAGTTAATGTATTTTAATTATGACTGTTACTCTTATGCTTGCCCCAATGAAGACAATGCCCAAATCAGAATCAAATTAAATTCCAGCTAACGCATACACTGACATGTGTGTGTGTGTGTGTGTATAGGTAGTTTAGCTGGTGAAATTTTAATAAAAATGCAAATTTTTTGAAGTAGCCTAAGGGGTTTCTGGCACATGCAAAGCCAATAAAATGATATTGCTCGTTATGAACTTGGCGGCAGATACGGAAAGCTGTGCAATTTTCAAGCACTCAGAAAGGTGCGCAGGAAGTTTGGCCGTATTGCTTCCGTTATTATTGGTTAGCTTAAAGTTTTGCTCGCTTTTGTTGCCAAAGATTGTCAGACTTCAACAACTGTGTCACTGGAAAGCTTTAAATGTAAACACAGAGTTTACCAAATGATCTTCCGACTGATTTCTGACAACATCATTCATATCTTTTTTCATTATTATGTCGAATCTACTCACTTTGACATACATAATAAGTAAATTATATTTGAAGACTACAGGAAATGCACCAAGGAATATATTTGAGGTGTTGATAAGCAAAACTGACTTCGGTTTTGGAATAACACATAAAAACTAATAATGATTTTTTTAACTGTTTTTTGTATTTTGTTTTTTATTCTTATAATAAATTTAACTTGGGCTTAGCACCCATTTTGACAGCCCGTAGCTTAATATAAACACTTGTGTACATGTTGAGGAAATGATGACTGATTTAATGGACATCGAACCATTATCGTGTACATTGCAAAATACAGCAAAGTGTTGAAAGACGCATTGTTTGCTCATAAAACCCGCACATCATTAAATCCCCAGTCCCCGCATGCCACCCTCCCAATGTCCCCTACTAAAATGTCAGCCAGCCATGGCTAACTGGGCAATGCTGCAGACAAGCTACTCAGATCATCCTCCCTCCGGCCATCACAGTGCCGCCTTTCCCTTTCCAATTCACATATGTAAACGTTTAAGTACGATATTTAGATATGTGTACAAAACATGCCGGAACCGAAGCATAAAAACCGAAATGCGCATAATAAAAAGTCATCATCATAGACATAGACCCATGTGCCTGGCTGCCCCCTTGTTGTAGAGATCCATTGCTACGGCCACAGCCCTTTTACAGATGTGCGATAAAACGACGAGCGGCAACAAAGGGCTTAGAAAATATGAGAAACAAAGCATAAAATAAAACACTTCGAACTTCAAGTTGACAATTTGAAGACGTCAATAAAGTTTCAAAAGCAGCTCCACGTCAACTCTGTTGCTGCGGCTGCTGTTGTTGCTGTTGTTGCTCTGGCTATTGTTGTCGCATGCATTTTCGCTTTCTTCGTTTTTCCCAATAAAAATTCTTTAGAAATCATTTAGAAAACGCATGCATGCACATCATGTGCACACCCACGGCCCCCCATTCGGAGCGCCCGTACAATGCCATCACAGATAGATATAACGCGTGTCAGACACGACAGTGCCATGGATCATGTGTCAAATTGTGACTTGCACTTGCAGCACCAGTAGCAGCAGCAGCAGCACCAGCACCAGCAGCAACAACAACAATATCAGCAACAGCAGCATCAGCAGCAGCAGCAATATCAGTGTCAGCAGTAAGTGCAACAGCAACTAGTCACCAGATGGCAGTTACCTGCAACAGCTACACCAACAGCATCCGATGCCGAGAGCCAACACTCGAAGACCGGCGACACAAGCAGATGAAGACACTCAACTGACTGCTCAGCTGGGGGCGACAGCAAACGGCACACGCAAATGCACTTTTTGATTGCCTCGGGCTGCTCTTATCTGTCTTTGGCTGTTTTCCTTATGAATACCAAAGTGTAACAGCGACTGAGTCGCACAATCAGACTTGGATGGTTGTTGCATTGTCGTTTTATTTGATGTTCGGGTAAAAGCTTTTATCAAAAATCGTATTGCATGCAAATTAGATTCCTCTCGAATCTCTCGTACTTACAACCGTGACCTGACAGTCGCTTTGTGCTGCAATTTAAAAAAATATACACGTTGCCTTTTATATGATGATGCCATTGTCATTTGCGCTGCAGCGCTCTACTCTCTACTGCTGATGCTGCTGCTGCTGCTGCTGCTAGAGTTGCTGCGGGCCTGCTGATAAAGACACCGACGACAAAGCAACGAAACGCTGATGATTCAGACATTGCATCCAAAGCTCATTCTGCTGCTGACGACCAAATTGTTGTTGCTGCTGCGCTTTGGTCTTTTGTCGCAGCTCTCAATTGACTTGATAAACTTCTTCCTACAATTTTTTTCAATTCTATCTATCGTACGCTTTGCTTGTTAACGTCAACCGGCTGCACACACACACACACACACATACGCACACACACACACACACATGTACACAAAAGGGAAATGCAGGCGTAAAATGAGTTCGCTTTTTCTTTAGACTCTATCGAGCACGTCTTATCTGTAGTCGCATACGTATATGGCCCATGACAGCGGAGGCTGAGACAGAGACACTCCGTCGCAGTGTAACGCCGACTTAAATACACTCGAATGCATTTCCATTTCATGGCTATGGCTTCATTGCCGCCAAACATCGTCGTCGTCCGCCGCTTTGTCTGGTGGCTATGCGCCAACTTGCCATATATATAAAAAAAAAAATATAAAAAAACTGAGCTGAGCTGAGCACCAGCGAGCTGTTGGTGTAATAGCGTTCATCGAAGCTTAAGGTGTATAAATCACACACAATGCGGTCTTTTGTAGTTTCAGGCGACACACAATCACACACACACACACACACAGACACACACACACAGTAACCTTTACCATGCCTGCTGTTGCAGTGAAAAAGTGAGCAGCGTTTAGGTTTTTTGGGTCAACAAAATATTGCCCTGCCGTTGAGCTTTAATGCTGCACTCGGTTCACAGTTTCCGATTGGCATTTAAATAATAATAGAATTATAATTTATTTTCAACAATTTGTTGCACTGTTTGTAATCATTTGTTAACTGTCACTGACTGATTCGGTGCACTGAGGAGGCGTGTAAGCCGCTTATCAACATATAAAAACAACTTAAGAAAAGCTCATAATACATTGTGCACTGCATCCACTTGAATTACGACCCACACCAACAACGAACAAAACGCCTTTTCATAAAGAGACCAAAATATTTAAGAGCTATATTTAAAATCAAATAAACACATATGCCAACAATCAAATGCTTGCCGTACTGTAAATTGAGCTTAGTTTCGGTTTATTTAAGACTCGACTGACGTCGGCATCCAAATGGAAGTGCAAGCAACTGCAAAGCGATCCACTCATGTGCAAGTTCAGCGCCAGCCTCAGGCAAGCAGCTTAGCCTGGATTGAATTGAAATTTGTTTATGGCCAACTGCAACTTCATAGTGAATGTGGAATGTGGAATGGGAAGACTCTTTGGCGCTTTGGCGCTTTGGCGCCATAGAAACAAACTTGTACACATGTTTCTGTCATTTTCTGGAATTATGTGCAACGCAAACGACACACGAAATAATATGATTTTCTTGCTTCATAAGCCGAACGTACTTTTTCCACAACATTTGCTGCAGCAAGGCACTGTGGAAACAATCGCGAAGGCACTCATCAAAATTCAATTTAAATATTTAATTTAAGCTAATTCAATTCTGGTATAACCTGAATTTTATTTTTACTGACAATGTATAATTTTAAGCAGCTAATGAATAAATACATAAATAAAATAAATAAAAAAAAATCCAATATAATTTTCTAACGTATATATAAAATAGATAAATAAAAATACAATATAATTTTATAATTGAAAAATGACTTTGAAAGCTGTTAAGAGCTTAATGTATAAATGTAATGATAGATTAGACAACATATTCATAATTCAAATAGTTCATAATAATTCTATTTAAAATTATAGCCAAATCTTCACACAAATTACAATAATATTTATAGTATGCAGTGAAATAAATTTAGCTGTCGATATACATTAGCAAAGTTTGAATACGTGTTTCATTCAATGGTACAATAAATCAGGCCATTAAAGTATTATTTCACAATCGGAGGCACAGTTCAAAAGGTTACAGAACTTCTGTCTGCCGAACAGGCAATTCTCATCCATTGTGCTGCGGCTCCGTTGCCGCGGGTCCAAGTC